CTCGGGCGCCGCGACCTTCTCAGAGCGTTCCGGGACGCTCTGAGAACGGTCCCGAACGCTCTGGAACTGATTTACCCTCGTCCTAACCCCGTTCGGTTAATGATGGTGTCCGATCCTCGGCGTTCAAGAAACTCCCGATCTCGTTGCCGACCTGGTCCGGGTAGTACACGTGTGCCTCTGGCAGCAGGTCGAAGTGAAATCCATCCATGAAACAGAAGGCAGAGTTGTCCGCGCGCAGGAGGCTGTGAAGCCACGCGAGCGTCTGATCGATGTTGCTCAAAGCCTGCTCCAGATCCTTGGGTGCCTCACCTGGGAGTCAGCATACACACATGCGAGCATCAGCGCTTGCCCGCCTCATCGCTGACAGCACTCAGCGAACCCAAGCTTCTATAGATCATGGTACCAGCGTGGCTCCCAAGCAACAGCGATTCAGTGCAATCGATGGGGCGCAAGGTATTCGTTGCGCCCTGTGGGATGCATGCCTTTCGGGTGGGGCCTGATGGGGCGGGATCCTACTGGGTAGGACCCCATCTGGTAAGACCCTGAATTGCTTGGCGGGACCCTTGTTGTTGGGTGGGTCCCTATCGGACGGGGCCCTGTCGGATTGGGCCATATTGTATAATGTTGGGGCCCTTTTATCGGGTGTGACCCTGCTGGGCGGGGCCTTGCGGGCTTGAGCCCCATTGGGTGGTACCCTATCGTGTTGGAACCTATCGGGCGGGACACTATCCGACAGGACGGGGTGGAAACTTACCAGCTGGAACCGCATCGAGTGAGACACTATCGAAAGGCGGCCTATCGTATGGAAGCTACAGAGCGGGCCGTGACGCAGAGAATATGCGGTAACCACCGTGAACAGACTAGTCTCCACTAAACAAAATCTCGTGCACTGTAGCGCTGGGAACATAGGGGAAACACCAGGCATAGATTGCGAAATGTCCACCGACCAGGGCCAACTCGTTCCAAAACCAAATGACCTAACCGACACGAAATAACTTAGACGTGAGCCCTGCAACCATGGTGGAGTGTGCGATTCGGAGGACGCTGGCCTCAGAAGCCGTGGCTGGCGTTCTAACTACATTCAGCACGGTCCACGATCAGTGCAACCATGTAACGTAAGGATGCAGCACCCATTCATGAGAATTCGTTACAAAGGGACCATGCTTACAACTGCAAGATCCATAAGTACGGCCTTGCCAAGCAGACTAAGATGTGAGGGTGGACTCCGTGAAGCTCTGCGTACTGATACGATGCACGTTGACTGCTCTCCGAGAAACCTTGGGAGGCTCTTTGACAGCATCTGAAGGAGTTCCGAACCAGCCTTTCCGTGTACGGCCGCCGAGCATCATCTGAGGGATGTTACGGTCAGTGTTTGGGGCGGAGCGCGCCCATTTCGGCCCGGCTTGGGCCCAGAGAGGAACCCGAAACCCGTGCTCCCCACGCGCGACGCTACGAACAGCGCAAATGGTAAGAACGTGTTCCCGCACGCATGCGCAAGTGATAATCAAGGACACTGGGCCGGCCCTGCTGGAAGCTGCTGCACAACCGCTGGATCAAACGGCCCTGAGACTCTCAAGAGCGGCCCTCACATGGACACCCTGAAAACCCCAATATGGTATTCAAGACAGCACTCTGAAACATGTCCCCAGCTGCTGGCCCGTAGGACTGCACGGAGACGGCGGCCGACAAATGACACCTGGATCGTTCTGGCGTCAGGAGCAAACAACATCCTCGCGAAACCAACCCCGTGGGAGTCGACATGGCATGGGCTTCTGGGGCCCCAGGGCCACAGGTATATTAGGGAGGATGCCTCTGCACAATGTGCGATCCAGACGTCCCCTTGGCTGAACGAAAAAGCTCGATCTCGTGCTCGGACGTTGCAAGATTGAAGTGCCAGATCTCCAAGGATGCCCCCACGGCATCCAAAGCACCTCTCACGAGGCTCAAAGGGCACCAGGGGCGCTAAAATGTGGCGAACAGCTGGGGAGCCCATCTTGGGCCAGGTACGCGACGAACAGCCCCCGACGTGGGCCTTCTCTCGAGCAAGGACCGGCCGTCCCGGCCTTCCTGTAGGCCTACCACGACATGCTCTTAGAGCTAAAGAATGCTTCAGCAGCAGAAGCACTGTTCGTATACCATAATGACGATTGGTTAAACCAAGCTTGTCTCAGGCAAAGTGTTCTACTAACGTTTCGTGCAGGCGGCAATCAGTTCTTAGAACGCTCTTTGGTGGGCCACCTAACAAGTCAGGACGCTTCGCCACTGCCTGATTCTCTCGTGCCCACACATCGCCAGAGGCCCCGCCGTCCGCGCAGCCCCCGGCCCCGCCGTGGAACTGCGACAGCGTCTCCTCCAAGTCGAGGAGCCACCCGTCGCGCACTCCCTCGGAGAACGCCCTGCCGCCAGGGCCGCCCTGGAGCTCGACGACCAGGGGGGCCAGGGGCGACGAGGGGCCCCGGGCGAAACCCGCGATGTCGGCGGCCGCCTCCGACGAGGCTCCGTACTGCACCCTCACCCTCCTCTCCGTGGACGCCCGAAATGGGCAATTATTACAGAAAACATGAGTACGATACCCGACAGCGAACAATTTTTTTAGACCGACGGCGGCCGCTGTTGGGCAGGGCGCCCTCTGTCTCACTTGGACAGCGTCCACGGCGGCACCGGCGGCGAGGCCGGCTCTCAACGAACAGGAAGTGCTGTCGGTCTTCGTACGGCGGGTTCGTGTCGTGCCGACCCCAGCGTTGGTTTTTGACACCGCAGGGATCGTTCAACCTTGAACGATCGGCCGCTGCCGCAACGTCTGATCGCTCAACATCGATCGATTCTGGGTGTCGCCGGCGGCGTTCAACCTTGAACACCCGCGCTGGGGTCGCCGCTGGTCGACACGACGCAAACCTACCGTACCCATGCCGATCGCACCGACTCTCGAGGAAAGCCCCGAGCGCGGCTCGTCGCTCGTCGCGCTCAGGCTCTTTCCTCGTCGCCGCCGTCGGCACCCCGGCTCGCCCTGCAGTCTCGGACTCTTTCACACCTGTGGGCCTGGCGAGGAAGAGGAAGAGGAGGATGAATAGTAACAATCAAAAGAGGCGGAGGAGGAGGAAGGCCATTATAAGCCCAAGAGTAACCAATCATGTTGGAATACACCCTCCCTCCGAGCTTCTGCCAACGGCCCTCAACATTGAATGCTCGCTCTGGCCGAGGAAGGAACAACGCGACAGATGTCCTGGCGGTGCCGCCATGCGGGCGTCGCCAGTGGGACCTTCGGTGGAGCTCCACGACTACAGTCGGGGCGTTGACCTAAGGAACCCTAAATGAGGAACGAGACCCCTTATCCCCATAAGTTAAACTTCGATTTCCCACGGAAAACCTCAGGATAACCTCAGACAAACTGTTAAGCCATCAAGGAACACCGAGCCCCTCCCCAACGAAAAAGGTTCCTTCTTCAGCGCCCCGACTGTATGGGGCCACGCACCGTGTGATGGGTGTGCCGAAACTGCCACGCGGAGGGCAGAGGCCAGGGTGGGAGGAGAGGGAGGGCGAGGACGGAGAGAGGGAGAGGAGAAGAACGGAGGCAGAGGAGGACGCGGGGCGTCGTCTCTTCAAAACGGGGACCCAAAACCACAAGCTGGCTGAGACCAAGATTCTTCTGCGGGGTCCTACCGTCGGAAGACTTTCACTCCGCGGCCCCAGAAGTCTCGACCACCTACCTCCCTGGGGAAAGTCTTGCCGCGGGGCCCAAAGCTGGCCCCCGGAGGCCGAAATCAGGCAACAACGAAAGGATCGAACCATCCAATCAGCCCGAGGTCTGGGCCCACCCCTGTCGTCCGCCTCGTCGCCATCCTTTCCCCCCCCCCTTCTCCCCCCCGTCCTCGTCCTCCTCTCCCTCCCCCCCACGCTCTCCTCCTCCTCCCCCTCCTCCTCCTCCTCCTCCTCCTCCTGCATCCTGCATTTCCCTCCTCCTCCTCCTCCTCCTCCTCCTCCATTTTCCTCCTCCTCCTCCTCCTCCTCCTCCTCCTCCTCCTCCTCCTCCTCCTCCTCCTCCCCCTCCTCCTCGCTCCTCTCTCCTCCTCGTCCTCCGGCCCGGTCCTCGGCGACACGGAGCACGGCACCACGCACTCGGGCGGCGGCGCGCCCTCCTCCTCCTCCTCCTCCTCCTCCTCGGGCGCGGCGCCCCTCGGCAGCTCCGCCAGCGCCCCGCCGGGGTCGAGGCGCACGCGCAGGAGGCCGCCCGCCGCGCTGGCCGCCGCGGCCATCTTAACGGGCGAAGAACGGTATAACATAATCTGTTTCGCTGTCGGGGGCGCCTGTCCCTCGGCGGCTGGAAAGCTTATACCCTTACGGTGGCACCGTAGGGGTATAAACTTTCCAGCCGCCCAGGGACAGGCGCCCCCGACAGCGAAAAGGTTTACACCCTGCGAAATGCTTAAGAAATCATGGGTTAAGAAACTCAGAGTCTCAGGATTTGAGTAAAAACCCAGAACTTCGATCAAAATCTTGGGATTTACATTGAAACATTAAGAATAATCGAGACTCTCGCCGAAAACTTACGTTTTCTTAAGCATCGCCCAGGGTGTACTTGATACCGTTCTTCGCCCGCGGACCATCCGCGTGCCGCAGAGGTCGCGGTGGCCCAGCAGCTCGCGCAGCGCGCAGCCCGGCACGCAGAGCCGCACGCGCGCCCCGGCGCCTCGCTTTAATTGGCGGCGAGCGAGGGGCGGCGAGTGAGAAGGAGCAGGCCTTCTCGGAAGGCGGCAGGGCTTCTCAGACAAAGCCCTCCGGCCTTCTGAGAGGTCTTCTGCGCCTTCGGGGGATTACACCCTGCGAAATGCTTAAGAAATCATGGGTTAAGAAATTCATAGTCTCAGAACTTCAATAAAAAAACCCAACATTTCTATTAACATCTTAGGATTTACATTGAAACGTTAAGAATAATCGAGACTCTGGCCGAAAACTTGGGTTTTCTTAAGCATCGCCTAAGGTGTACTCAAGGCTAATTAGAAGACTTCTCAGAAGGCCGGGGGACTCCCAAGCCTTCTGAGAAGGCCCACCCCTTCTCACTTCCCACCGTGGCTCGTCGCCGATCATCACTCAGAGCTCCGACGATGCCAGGACGAGGATAGAATCCCTCGGGCGCCGCGGCCTTCTCGGAGCGTTCCGGAACGCTCTGAGAGCGTTCTGGAACACTCTGGACTGAGTTATCCTCGCCTTAGCCCCGTCCGATCTTCAGAGCCCCGACGATGCGATCTTTTAAGCCCCGGCGGTTTTGTTCTGCGACTTCGGCCCCCCCGGGGGGGCCGTTTTGCGCCCCGGGAGCATCGACAGCGGGTCTGGAGCAAAAGGCTGGCCCTTGGGAACTCTTGAGCCGCGGATTGAAAAATCACAGCGGCGGATGTCGGGGCTTGTTCAATCCAGACCCGGTTCAGTCAGGCGTGGAAGAATGTTGCAAGATCCTGCAGGATCCTGCACCCAAGCCCTTGTCAGTGCGCCACTGCTTCTGCAGAATCCTGCAAGATCTGGCGCTCTGGCTGAGGCTGACCCCCGTTTGCATCGACCTCCGTCTCAAGCAGGGACAAGAGATGGCGGCCCCGCTGCGGGACCCCGGTGGCGAGGGGCTGGGCTCGCCTCCAGGTGCTGGGCGGAGCGCGCCCGGAGAGCAGCAGCACATGGCCGCTGTGGCTGCGCCCTCGCCTCAAAATCCTGGTCAGAGCGCCTCTGGGAAGGGGCCTCCAGGGATAGCGACTCCTCGGATCTCCTGTTGCTCTCCCGGCGCCGGCGCGCTCCGGGCAGAGGCCTCCGGCGCAGACGCTCACCTGGGTGCACCAGCTCAGCGTGCGGGACATGCTGGCGAACTGGACGGTGAGCCCCTCCGGCTGGCCCTCGAGCTGCACCACGGTGCTGGTCCGGTGGCACCTGGCCGGGTAGGGGTGGCTGGTCTCCCAGACCTGGGCCTCGCGGGGCACCTGTGGCGCGAGGCGGGGCTTTACATCCAGCTCCCCGGCGCGAGGAGCCGACGTCCTGGTACCCCGGCGGGGGCCAGAGGATGGCCACCTCTCCGCCGCCTGCCGAGGTCCCCGGAGATCGGCCCCCCCTCGCCATCGCTCGGACGTCCATCTCTGTGTTTTTGTTCGGTTTCGTGCGTGTTTCTTTCGCCAAATGGTCCAGGATGCTTCTCGAGGGTCCTCGCCGAAGGAAAGATGCACACGTCCGAGCGATGCCGAGGGTTGTGTGGAGCAGGCCCCGCCCGCGGACCTGGAACTCCTGGAGCACCTGCTTCAGCTCCTCCCTCACCGCCCAGCCCCAGGCCGTGGCCTCGTCGGCCCCCCCGGGCCGCTCGCGGGCCAGCCGCCGCCACTCCTCGTCGAAGGACGCGCCCGCGCCGGCGGCCCGGAACACCCGGCCCCCCTCCTCGCTCGCCAGGGCCGCGGCGAGGCGATCCACGTCCGCGGGCTCGACGCCCTCGGCCTTGGGGTCTCCCGAGGCCCCTGGAGGTCTGCGCGGAGGCCCCCGCGGAGGGCCCAGGAGCCCTCTGGAGCGGACCTCGCGGCCTCCAAGGAGGCCTCCGGAGACCCTCCCAAAAAAACAAGCTTCTGAGCGGTGCTCAGCCAGGCACGGCGACGAAGGGCCATGAAAAGACAGGAACCCCAATCGGCCTTTAGGGCCGCCTCGAACGCCTTCCTGGAGACGCTGCCCTGGTCTTCTGGTGGCGCCTCCCAGCCACTCCGAGGGACCTCGGCAGCAGCGCCTGCGGCGAAGAAATGCACCTTGCCAGCGCCGTCGGCCGAGGCGGCGTCTGCGATCAGCCACTGGCCGGCGCCGCCCCCCGAGGGATCTTCCCATCGTATCTCCACGGGGACCTCTCCGTCCTGCCGCCGGTAGGCAGGCCGGCCACTCCGGGCCCCCACTAGCTTGTACGAGCCGTCGAGCTTCCCTCCGCCCCGGACTCGCAGAGACCAGGACCTTGGGACGAGCATGATGTCATGATGCGGTTGATTCAGGGTACGCTCTCAGCGTTCTGGGGCATCTAGCGGCCCTCGTTTCTTGAGCCCGCGCGGAAAGCATGGGACATCTCCCAGAGCCGAAACGAGTCTTGGAGCGTATCATGGCCATGTGTGGCTTCTTGCCTCTCTGGGACCTGCTGCCCTTCGGCGCGTCCCGATACTTGCGGTTCGCCACCAGCCTCTGCACGTGCCTGTCCAGCCTCAGCTCGCCGTGCAGCTGGATCTCCTTGTACACGCCCATGCTCGCGGACGAGCCGACGAGGGGGCAGTCTGCGCGCACCGAGGGGGCGGGCGCCCGAGGCCACAGGGAGTAGCCCGAGCTGGGCGGCTTCCACCGGAGGCCCACCGGCAGGGGGTCCCCCGGGCTGCCGAAGATGAACTCGACCTGGATGAAGCGAAGTAGGGCGACGATATCTATACATATCCACTGCTCCTGGCCAGGCCAATCCTGGGCCCAAGAGCTGTGTATACGCCCTCCTGGCTTGGCCAGGGAGGCATATACACCGCTCCTGGGCCCAGGATGGGCCTGGCCAGGAGCAGTGGATATGTATAGATATCGTCGCCCTACGAAGGCTCCATACACATTGGAATGCCACGTGGGCGACGACAAGAGCAGGGGTCTCACGGGAGATGGCACACCGACCTTGCGCGGTGCCTCACGCGGGCCGCCGGGCTGAAAAAACGCTGTATTGGAAGCGAGGGCTCCTATGCGCGACCTTCACGCGAGCAGCTTGCGCGCCAATGCCGGCGAAGACGACCCCATGTTCTGACACACCTTGGACGGATCTACCCTTTCCTCGACCTTGCACTCCGCCGAACGCAGCGGCCGCGTTGTCTGTTGGCGCATGCACCCCGAACGTGCCTGTGTGCTACTACCTCCAAATGTGTCCATAGATGCTTGCGACTACAAATTCAGAACGGTCTTTGGCACATTGGCCTTCTGGAAGCAGGTAGACGTTGCCCTCAAACAGATACGGCCATAATTTTTGACATAGCGTGACACGCTACCCCTTGCAAGGTGAAAGCGTGTCGCTCCGCTCCGCGGAGCTGGAGGCTGGGATCAGCTCGGGACGTTGACGCTCGAAATAGGGGGACGTAAATAGCGTTTCGCGTCGAGGCGTGGTGGGCCGGAACCGGCGGAGCGACACGCTAAGACGAACTTCCTGCAAACTTCTCGGGTGCGCGCAGATGTCTTGGATCTGCGCTGTGCCCCCGTCCCGCGCCAGGGGCGGCGCCGGTGGGCACACACCCTAGAAATCCGGCGGAGCTCCGAAAAATGATGTATATGGCAAATTTGTGTCGTGACGACTCTGGCGTTGGCTCCCGACACCGCGGGGATCACGCAACCTTGAACGGTCGGCCGTTTCCGAGGCGTCGGATCGTTCAGCCTCGACCGATTCTGGGTCGCCGGCGGCGTTCAACGTTGAACGCCGGCGGCGGGGTCGCCGCCAGTCGGCACGACGCGAACCTCCCGTATGCCGCTCGCCCTTCTTCGGCGACCTTCCCCTGCACGGACACGGCCGGGTAGACGCTGAGCAGGCCGCGGCCGCTGCGGCACCGCTCCAGCTCGAGGCACACGCAGTCGGAGCTGGCCAGCGCCTCGTCCAGCGCGCGGCGCAACTGCCCGCCAGAGGACACCGGCCTGCCGCCCACGGCGACGACGCGGTCGCCGGGGCGCGCGGCGCTGGACTCGTCGGAGCAGCTCGCGTTCCACCGCGCGGCGAGGCCCGTGCTGGCGATGCGCAGGATCTCCCGGCTGTCGGCCGCGAACTCCAGCCCCAGCGCGTCATCCACGGACACCTACAGTCGGGGGCGTTGACCTAAGGAACCCTAAATAAGGAACGAGGCCCCTTTTTTCCATAAGTTAACCTTCGATTTCCTGTCGAAAACATAAGGAAAATCCAAGGCAAGCTGCGAAACAATTAAGGAACACGGAGCCCCTCCCAAACGAAAAGGGTTCCTTATTCAGCGCCCCGGCTGTAGAGGGTCGAAGAACCACCCTCGGAACAAGCACCCCGACAGGCAAAGCCCATCAGCAAACGCACCTGGGGAAGGAGTCGAACAGGACGGGGCTGCGTAGCAAACGCCCGGTGCTGCCCAGCAAACGCCAGCTGTGGGGAGCTGTGTGGGTGTACAGCCAGCGTGCAGGCATAAGGAACGCAAGATAAGGAACAGAGGGGCTTTCCTGACTGCGGCTAGCTTGGGCCACGCATGAGTCCCTCGACCTAGGTCTAAGGAGCGGAGCGAGAAACGGAGTCCCCCTTGAGCCCAACGAGGCCCTTATTTCAGCGTCTTGAGTGTATGGGTCGTCTGTTTCCTCCCTTGGACACCTTCTGGAGCCGCACCTGGTGCCGGTCCCTGACGAGCATGCTCTCGCTGCCCCACTGGCCGTCCGAAGTAAAATAGAATCGAGGCGGATCCGCCTCCAAGTCTGCCGCGATGCCGACGATGGTGTCCTCTTTGAGGACCGTGCCAGAATGTACGCCAGCCTCGCCTGACGGAACAAAAACTCGGGCGTCACTTCGTGCGGGGGAAGACATGTATGGACAGGGAAGTGACCTTCCGTGCCCCTTTTGGGCCCCGGGGGCCCTTTGAGGTTAGGGCGCAAAAGGTGCATCTTTCTTCACCCGCCATTCATCGCACCCCCATTCCTCGACGCTCGCAACACTGCAAAACCATAAACGTTGGAGGTCCGCGCGGATTTCTTAGTTCGGCGCTGGAGGCGCCGCCGGGGTGCCCAGCGCCGATCCACGAAATCCGCGCGGAGCTCCGAACGTGTGAATGCTTGTGGCGCCCTTTCTTCTTCGATCGCCGCGGATGGTCCTCTCCTCCTGGGGCCAGCAGTCCTGGGAGTCCCAGAACCTGGAGCGACCGCCGTGGAGCACCAGGGCGCGCTGGCCGTCGACGGCCCACCCGTGCGCGTCGTCCCCCACGCCGCTCGACGCCTTGACGCCTGGGCGCTTCTCGTACGCCGTGCTCAGCAGCCCCACCTGGGGCGAGGCGCACCCCGCGAGGAGGCGCACCTCGAAGTAGTGGCGCCCGCCGCCCCGCGCCATCCCCGGGAGGCCGACCGTGATCCAGGCGGCGGTGCAGTCCTCGGGGGCTTCCTCCTCCTCCTCCTCCTCCTCCTCCTCCTCCTCCTCCTCCTCTCCTTCCACCTCCTCCTCCTCCTCTTCCTCCAAACTATTCCTCCTCCTCCTCCTCATCATCATCATCACTACCACCACCACCACCATCGCCATGACGGTCACCATCACCATCACCATCACCATCACCATCACCATCACCATCACCATCACCATGACCACTACCATCCAACTCCTCCTCCTCCTCCTCATCATCACCATCATCATCAGCAGCAGCATCGTTGTCGTCATCGTGAGCAGCAGCAGCAGCAGCAGCAGCATCATAGTCATCATCATCGTCATCATCATCATCATCATCATCATCATCATCATCATCATCATGACTACCACCACCATTATCCTCATCCTCATCATCATCAGCATCAGCATCAACACCATCAGCATCAGCATCATCATCAACATCATCACCATCACCGCGTCATCATCATCAGCAGCATCATCATCCTGATCATCACTATCATCATCGCCATCGCCATCATCATGGTCACCATCAGTATCATCGTCGTAATCACCATCATCACCAGCATGCTCCTCATCATCAGCATCATCATCACCATTATCATATTAATAATCAACAACATTAGCATCATCCTCATCAGCAGTAACATCAACATCATCTTCATCATCATCCAACTCCTCTTCCCCGCCTCCTCGTCGTCGCTCCTCCTTAAGTTGCTTCTCTTCCTCCCCCTCCTCCTCCTCCTCCGCGCTCATCGCTTCTCTTCCTCCTCGCTCTTCCTCCTCCTCATCATCATGACCATCTCCATCCATCACCCAGCATACGTGATCAGTCGTCATTGAGCCAGCGACGGTCGTCACTTATATATCATCGTCACCACCATCACCACCACAATCATCATTAATAGCATCATGATCATCATGATCATGATCATGATCATGAGAATGATCATTCTCATGCTCATCATCATCACCATCATCATCATCATCAGCAGCATCATCATCATCATCATCATCGTACTCACCCTGCTACTCATCCTGACCCTCAACATCACCATCGAGTCGAAGAGAGAAGGGCAGGATGAGGTCCTCCGTCTCCCCGCACAGCAGGTCTGGCCTGGGTCCGCCCGGGCCCGCGGTGGCGACGTCGGCGACGGCGCGGAGCTCCGCGTCGGTGTACTCCTTCAGCACGTGGGCGTACCGGTCGAAGACGCCGAGGCGGGAGCCCGCGAGGCCGCCCGAGTCCGTGGCTGCGAAGGTGCACCGCATGCGCACGTCCCTGAGAACCAGGTAAGAATCCCCGTACCTCGGTCCGGCCACCTCCTCCTCCTCCTCCTCCCCCTCTTCCTCCTCCTCCCCCTCCTCCTCCTCCTCCTCCTCCTCCTCCTCCTCCTCCTCATCCTCCCCTTCCTCCCTCCACTCCTAGCCCCGTACCTCGGTCCGGCGTCGCTTGATTAGAGGCCCCCATGCAACGGGTCCGAGCAAGCGGGATCGGAGGACTCCGTCGCATCGCCGACGCATTGCTGATGCATCGACGACGTCGGCGATGCATCGGCGCTGTCGGCGCGGAGGAAGTCGAGCTACAAATCGAGCAGCATCGGGCATGCATCGGTGATGCGGCGGAATCCATCCGACCCCATCTGGGAGGCCTCGATGGATGGGGGGCAAAACGAAAAGGAAGGGCACGATCATAATGATTGGAGGAGCAAAAGGGGCCTCCTGGAGAACGCTCCATCGCTGGCCACTGCTTCCAACTTGTGCAGATTTTCAAGATGTTGACTGCCTCGGACCGCTCCGAGACCCACCGCTGGACGTCCAGACTTCCAGCCTCGCTCTAAAGGTACAGATCGGGTGAGGTTCAGTGGTGGGGGCAATAAAATGGGGGTGGGCCCTTTCAGGCCATCTTTCTTATAACCCTCGACCCCGGCTCGCGACCAGGGCCGATCGTAAACACTTGGGGCCGATAGCAACCACATGGGACGGATTCCAACCGTTTGCGATCGGCCGGATGTGGTTGGGATTTTATGGGTTCGCTTACACATGGCTTTGATAAGCAGAGGCTCTCCAAAAGAGCTTATACAATGAGCGGCTTGCCTCAAGCTCACCGATGACATTCTGAAAAAGCGGTTGCGATCGGGCAGGTCGCAGACCACGCGTAGTAGTAGTAGTAGTAGTAGTAGTAGTAGTAGTAGTAGTAGTAGTAGTAGTAGTAGTAGTAGTAGTAGTAGTAGTAGTAGTAGTAGTAGTAGTAGTAGAGTAGTAGTAGTAGTAGTAGTAGTAGTAGTAGTAGTAGTAGTAGTAGTAGTAGTAGTAGTAGTAGTAGTAGTAGTAGTAGTAGTAGTAGTAGTAGTAGTAGTAGTAGTAGTAGTAGTAGTAGTAGTAGTAGTAGTAGTAGTAG